CTGTGTGTTTCAAGCTCTCTTCTTTTTTTAATGACATTACAAAGTGGTTGACTAGTTAGGTTTTCCTTTTTTCAGGTTGGAAAATAGAATATCAGCATACAAAACAAGTATTTTAGAATTTTTATTAAATGGGTTTGATTACATACAACTTTTCTTTAAGAGTGCATTTTGCATTTGAACTATCAAAAGCAAAATTATCTACAGGTGGCACATCTGATTCTTTCCTGTTACAGTGTGCTTCAAGACTTTATTAGTGGGTTTTATCCTCACATACGAAGTTTTTACTTCCAAAGTAGAAGTGAAAAAATAAATTTCCTATTTCAAATCTGAGTAGGCTTCAAGTTTGTAATAGCTGTTAAGCTGAACTGGTTTAACAAAGTACATAGATAAACCTCTGTGTACTTTGAGAAGAAGCTTCTAAAAGCTGGCTAAACATGCCAGCATAGTCTGGTTTCCAAGTCTCTGTCAGATTTTCCAGTTAGTGGACTAAAATATCAGTAAGTGGTATTGTGTATATTTTTTAATATTTTAAATATATTTTTTGATAGTTTACACAAGTCTATGTCTGCAAGTTGCCACAATGCTGCATGTAGCACTGTATTTAGGCTTGCTCAAGGAAAAAAATTGTGTTCTGTTTTAAATTTTTTTGGCATTAAGACTGATTCTCACTTGTCTTTCTGCTGTTAGAGAAATATAGTAGAGATGCTCTTTTCAAACAGTTTAAAATCTAGCAGGCTGTTACTATGAAGAGGATACAGAAACCACTGCTTTTAGCTAATGTTTGTGAATGTTCCTTATAACAAGCTCTAAATTGCTACCAACTACTCTGGTTTCAGTTTAAGTCTTGCTATATCAAATAATACCAACTATTCTCCTGTTGAAAAAGGCATAGTTTGGAAAAGCTAGAAACATGGCAATTTTGTGAGACAACTAAATTGATAGTCATTTAGGGAAACTGAATGAGAAGCAGTCTAAGCTGCACCTGATTCATGCATGTACTTTTTCAGATCTACATGTTAACAATAATAATTCTAAAAATAATTCCTTAGGCCTTGGTTTGCAGCAATTCTGAAGCTTTATGATTTCTTGTATTTTATTGTGGAAAGATGATCCCTTTTAGCCTTTCCCTCTAGCATCAGTGTTGAAGGTGTAGTACTTGTTTTCTTTTAGTATTCTGGTCTCTGTGTGAACAAAGTAACTTATGATGGACTCTCACTGTCTTGATGGTTAGAAAATGTACTGGTGTAAGTAACTGATTGCAAAATTATTCTTGCTGTGCTCCAGGGAATGAGTTGGTCTTTCGACAGTCAGTAAATATGCAGGAGAATAAAGGGAAGATATGAGTCAGCTTTAGTGCCTAGAGTACCTTTTTTTCCCTGCTGACTGTTTCAGATTGTACAGCTTTGCTCTTGCTGTTTTAATTCAACATGAAGTACATGAAGGTCCTAGCATTAAAGAAACAGTCAACATCGTGTTTAAGACACACAAAAGAAATGCTGCACTGCTCATATGGTAAGGGACGTGGAATTCTTAGCAGCAGTAGGTCACTGCGTCAAATTATGTGACTTACTTTAGAGGACTGTGTACCTTTTTTTGTTGATTGCCTTTTTTTTATCTGATCTAAATGTATGATGCATTCTGCAGTAAAATAAATCTGCCTGTAAATGTCCACTTAAAACTTTACAGATAGTTTGAAGAGAAACCTTTTAGACACCTGCCAAATACAGCATTTATCGCATGAAACAGTTACTTTGTGAATTTAAATAGCTTGCAGAAGTAAAAACCTAGTGCCACCCAGAGCATGTTTCAAATTTGAAGTCCCAGTCTCCATAATGGCATAAGACATTCTGGTGTCTGTTTAATACTTTATTTTACTGTATGTCCCTATCTGAATAAAAGCAATTCATAACCAACTGAAAAAAGCTACCTGATCCAGCAAATACTTCTGTGGTTCTGTGGCCTTTAAGGACATTCATTCATTTTGCCAGTATGAAATATACCATGTTAGTTAAGCAGTTCTCTAGTAAGGGAAAAAAGACTATAAAATCTGTTTTGTAGCACACTGTAATGCATATTATCTGCATCATAATTTTTTAGTATCTATTTCTTTAATGTTGGCATTAAAGAAGTGGCTATCAGTAGCAAGGAGTACTTTTTTAATCCTTCATTAAAAAAAAAGTCCCAAAGTATTAATTGTGTTAGGAAAAAAAAGAAAAATTTGTAGTCTGTTAGAAGGTGAAAGCCCCAAATTGTTAACTCCTAAATTGATACTGTAGAATAGGTATGAACTGATAAAAATATATTTTTACAGCAGTTGATACATCTTATATAAAAAGTTATAGTAAAATGTTTACTATATTTTTCTTGTATTTCACTGAGAAGCTGTTGAATGAGATTAATCTAAAGTGAGCAGTTTCAAGAGGCACGTGTAGTAAGTTTCAAAACATTTTAATATGCAAGATCATATTCTGATATGTCATCACAGATTATTAAGCAGCAACAAATAATTACTGATACATAAACTGAGCACCATCATAGTGTGCTTCAATAGATGCAATAGCCTGACTATATTATGCATTACATACCATTAAAGTATTCAGGGTTTTGGGGGTTTTTTTGTTTTTTGAGGGGGATGAATTTTATGTAGAAATGAAGATTGAGAAGCAAAGTGGAATCAGCCACTCAAAACACTCTTGGGAAGCAATGATTGTTGACTCTTCTGGGTTTTGTATGATTACTTGCTCAGTGAAGATACTCTAGCCCTAGGTTTCTTAACACTTTTAATGTATGTGTTTGATCTTGCAGAGCCCTTTGATGGGACAAACACTGCTAGAGCTGTACATGAAAAACAGAAGTTTGATATTATCAAAGGTGAATTTCTGAAGGTAAACAGTATATCTCATTTAATTTTTCTGGTCAGTTTGGTTTTCAAGATAGTTATACAAATGCTAGTCATTGAACCTGCCTGTTTCTGATGTTTGTTATGAATATTTTTGGTTTGTATGATACAAATAATAGCAGTGTATTTTGAAAATTATGTGGGAATTTTTTTAGTAAGAGTATTTATTAATGTCTGCCACTAAGCATCAGGTTTCAGTTGAAATGCGTAGTTGGAATAGTAAACCCTTTGTCTTAGATTTTCTTACGTGTGTAAAAATTTTAGTGATAGTCAATAGCTTTAGAATTACAACTTTATCTTCATTCATTATTTCTTACAACATGAATTCGGCTGATAATAAACAATGTTTTATACTACTTACCCGCCCTTTTTAATAAATATTGCCACTGATGGTTTTCTGCTGGATTTTGCAACTGAGTTAAATTGGTACTTTTCTTTAGGGAGACCACACTCATAATTTTAGAACATTAGTGGTTCAAACTGGAGTTTTCACTGTTCCAGTCAGTAGAGGAGGCAAGGACACTTTGGAGCAAGCAAAGATTTAGGCCTTGGTTAAACATCATCCTTCTAAAAATCCTTGTTGCCAACCTTCTTTTATGTTTGTTTCCTATCACAGGCATTATATTTGGAATCACAGCTCAAATTCTAGTTTTCTGAGACCTCTGACTATTGATAATGTAGTTATGACTAGGGATTAGTGTGCAGAACTGACTTCAAAGCGTCCTGTTATGCTGTCATTGGAGGCTTCTGTTTACTCCAGTTGATCAAGTCCTTAAATATCTTGAGGGCGTCTCCAGCAAAAAGAAAATCAGTGCCAGATACTTGTAATAAAACAAATACTATAAGGTGTTGCCTTAGTCAGAAAAGGATAGCTTTTTTTCCTTTGTTATTTTGTTCAGAAATGTCAGTTTCCTTCTATTTAACCATGTTAGCATACAAAATACTGAACTGGTTGCATACTTCTACATGAACTACTTGATTTGGTGAATCTGCTAAAGCAGTGGTTTACAAAGTAGCTTGAGCTCTCTCACTGTTCTGTGACATCAGAGTGAACTTCTCTTTTCAGAATTTTCAATGTAAAAATTGATTTCAAACCTGTGTGGTTTTCTGAAAAATGCAAAAGCAGTTGTTTGATCCTAGCTGTCTGGAAGCCTATATATTAGAGTGTTATGGCCCTGAAAAAATTTACTCTTTACTGGGAACCATAAGGAATAACAGTTGCTTAAAATTGCAAGTACTTATTAATATCATGCACTTTTTTAAGAAGCCTAAGGCATCTGTTTGTCTCATTGCTCTTGAGAGATTATTCTTCCTGTGGTTTTCATTACATATTGTGGTTCAAATGAATTCTGTGTTAAGGCAGGAGGGTTGCTGCAGTTATTTGCAGCTTCATGGTCTTGTAGATGTGACAGGTGTGTCCTGGAATTCACACTAGAATACAGAAGAAAAATTAGATAACCTATTTTAAAGACACAGTTAAGTTCTGGAAATATCAGAATATATAAGACCCTGTATCAGGAATTTTGATGTGTAAATTTGAGACAATTATTTTGCAGTCAGAATATCAGTATAATGCTTAAATAATGTTAACATCTCAGTCTCCACAAATCCACTGTCGTCTTGAAAGGTTGTAACTTCCTCAATAGTTCATTGCATTTTGTGTAGCTTTTAATTCCCTTAAAAACAAACAAAGCAAAACCAAAAACGCCACCCATCTCTTTTCAAGAAGGAGAAAATATCAACCTTGTTTTTGTGGACCTGAGGCTTACCATTGTAAGCAGTATTTAAGTATTAGTGGCAAAGATTATTTAGCCTTTTAAAACTTTGTACTTTTTTCCCCAGACTTGGCATGTATTAGAAGACAAGAAAGACCTGAACTGTGTATTACCTTTAAGAGCAACTGTATGAACTGAAACAACCAACTTCTGTCACTTTCTTCCTATTGGATCCTGCTACTGAAATAAAGAATCAAAAGCAAGAGGCAGTTTCTCCATGGTTTTTTATGACATGTTTTTCTCTGTAAACTTTTGTTAAGGAAATGTTTATAAGAAAGATTGCATATTTTATTATCCACATTTGTTAATACAGCTCTGCATTCAAAAATATGTTTTCTCAAAATGGTTGCATTCTTGACTTCTAGAAGAAATTCAAACAGCAAACCACAAGAATAAATCCATTATAAGGAAAGTATGGGGATATGCTTAATTGTTTCCGTTATTTGTGTAATCATTAATTCAGATGCATTTAACCATGAAATAAAGACATTCAGAGATAAACAATGTGCAAGTTATTGCACACAGTACCCACTTCTTGATGAAGAGACAGCCCATGCTTTACATCTGCTTAACTGCAGTAAGCACTTTTGCTCAACTTGGCACTTTTCAGGTTTTTTTCCCTTCTATGTGGAACAACAAGCAACAATTTATGAAAATTAAGCTAAATTATGGTTGGTGGTGTTCTAGATATCCAGAACACTAATCTAGACTGGAATTGTCAAGGGACAGTTCCACTACAAAGAAGGTGAAATAACAAAGGACAGATCAATATACATAAATTCTTCATATTCACACAGAGCAGGCAAGATACTTTTTAGTGCTTCCTTTACATATTTGAAGTCATAGTGATGTCTACTTTGGAAAAAAAAAAGCCAAAACACCTCACATTACTACCACTTCTACAATAAGCTGGGCTTCTGTCTTGATTTTGTGTGAATATTTAAATTGGTCAGCTACTGTAAATTGAATTTAAATAATCTTGAAAACTTTAGCTGTTCCAAAAGAAGTTGTGAACCTTCTTTTGGACCTGCTGTAGCACAATTTGTGCCTCATATTTGTTATTGAAGACCAATTAATTGTTAAAACTGTACTTGCCATTGATGTCAAAATCATATTTTCTTCTTTTAAAGTTTAATATTTTGTATGGTGTCCAGTGTAATAAAGTTTATATATGGAAGATACAGCTTATTTTTCCAGTTTATGTTATTTTGTACTACATAATTAAAATATTTCCTATAATTAAGTAGAAAAGGTGATGCCCTGTAAAGGTAAGGCCCCTGTTGCAAATCATAAACTTCTGTATGGCTGTTCTGTGCTGCATATGTGTACAGGTAAAAGTTTCATCTGTTGCTGTCTCTTAACAAGATTGTGAAACTGTAAAATAACGAGCATTATGTCGTCTTGTGCAAATGTTGAAATAAATTAGAACTTAAAAGTTTTACTTGTTTTAATTCAGAAGTTCTAGCAACTGTAAACTACTTGTGGGCTATGAGGTTACTTACTACCTATTTCATCATGATCTTGTCTGTGATATTTCTGGCTTGCTTCTTAAAGCAGCTTCCTTCTGCAATTTAAACAGTCTTTCAGTTTTAATCCAACTATCAATCCACTAATATGTTCTCCCTCCGTATGTTCCCTCTTACTGCCCTTCCTCTTCATAGGGTGGTAGACTTGGTCTCAGTGAAACATTCACTTTGATCTGCTGTATGTAAAATGGAAGCACAAGTTTTTAGTACAGGATGATGGCTGGTTTCAAAGATGCTATACAAGCCTTAGATGGATTTTGGGGAGCGGGGAGAACTGCTTTTGTTTTTTTAAAGGTGCTGGCTGTCTCTGTCTAGAAAAGGTAAAACTTTCCCAATGTAGGATAACTAAGAAGGACATACAGTTTTGCCAAATTTGAACATGTATTTCAGGTGGGTTGGATGTGAGGCACAAATCTTCGTGCATGTCTCTCTCTTACATGTTTGCATCACCTAAGGTGTCAATGTGTCTCACACCTTGAATTACTGCTTTATGTTTGAAACTGCTTCTTCCTGCCTGCTTTAAAATAGACAGTTAAAATTGTGGTACCTCCCTGCAACTCCACAAAAATTAACCCATCAACTCGGTGATACTTTTAATACAAGCCAAGATCTGTAATCACAATGGCCTGTGTCTTCCAAAAAAATCCTTTTGGCTTTTTTCTCAAGTTTATGTACTTCTGATAAGCTACATTTATAATCAGAAATACAAAGTCTAGATGGTAGTTTTCCCCAACTGTGTCAGGACAAGCCTGTTTGCCACATCTTCTCAAACAGAAAACTCTCCAGTAATTTACTGTGTGCAAGGTGGTATAACTTGGTTTAGCTTATAGCAAAAGAAGCTAGTGGGTGGTCTGGCAAGAGCATGGAAAGTGGTTCACATATTAAAAAATAACCCAAGAGGTCTGGAAAACAAATTTCACCGCATGTCACATTACATTATTCTCCTGTCAAGGCAACCAAAAGTGGTACCACTTTCCCTTGAAGTCCTAAGACAACTGGAAGTATGGTGAATGAACATAATGGTATTTGTTAAATGGTGGGCTGCAACTTTCGTCAGAAAACTTCAGATAAAATACCACAAAAATAAATGCTTTGGGAAGAGTGAGTAGGAGCTTAACTTTAACTTCAGATTCAGTTCTGCATAGTCTGAAGTTGTTCAGGGGTTTTATGGCCTGGATTTTCATCTACTCTGGGCAGGCATCCAGAGGGAGAAATCCACTAATGACTATCATAAATCTCAGTGTTACCATGAAGTTTTCCCTTCTTGATTTCAAAATAAACACATTCACACACCCATCCCTTGGCATACACCCTAGCAGGAAATTTCTGAGACACCTTTGGTAAAAGGTGTTTCTCATGGCTGACCAAGGTTTCAGCATGTGTGCAAGATGCTGACTTCTCTGAGGCTTCTTACTTGACATAAAAACGCTGTTTGTTATTTTAGGACTAATTTTGACTACTAGTCAAAATGCTTTTGCATGTTTTGTAGTTCAAAAGTTTTGGCATTGGGGTTCCCTACCATTTCTCACTTTATATAGTGTCAGAAACTATTAGTGTCTTGTCTAGGATTTTAGGAACTCTATTTAGTCTTCTAGCAGTTCTTTTAATTAACAGGTTCAGAGGTGTACGGGAGGACCAAACGTTAGCAAGAGCTTCCCATTCAGAATTGGCATAGACTGTATCCTGTGAAACTTGAAGTTTACTTTCTAGCTTCCTTGCTCTCACTTCTCTTAAAACATGATTGTGTAAGTGTACTCTCTATAACTTCAGGTGTTCTGACAGTTGAGAGGTTATTTTTAAGATATCCCTTGGGATGAATTCAATGTAAAACAAATTTAAGACTCAAACTGAAGGGTGACATAGTTATTTGGGAGAAATGGGCAGCTATAATAAAAGGATGTAGATAACCTGAAGTTAGAGTTTATGAATACCATCCTAAATGCTTATTTGGAACCAATGCTTTACTTGTACTTGAGTCACTGGACTTAATTCACAGTATATTTGGTGTTTTTAAGTCCATCAGAATGTTACTCTTGATTTAATGGACTCTACTTGCTTTGGGTTCTCTCACGTGTATTTTGTAGTGTTTGTTTTTATTTGTCTTGTTTTCTCTAATCTTTGTGTGTTTCGGTATAAATCTTTTCCTCATTGATTTTACAGAGTATGATGCTTGTATGAAGACCATGAAAGAAATTGGTCAATTTCAGGTCAAATTAAGTTGAGAGAAGTACAGAAGGGAGAGCACTAGTTCTGAAAATAATTTGAAAGGCTTCTGGTAAAAGGGTACTCACCTTCCTCTTTCTGTGCTGAAGACTGAATCAAAACTTGTGCAATATACATATGCTTCATACATAAGCATTTCTAGAATATTGTAATGCTCTTGTCTTCAGTGTGTAAAGAATGTTAAGACCTCTACCTTGAATTTCATTGTGCTGCATACACTGTGTCAGTGCTCATGATAATATCTGGAGCTTAAGTTGGTATCTGTTTCAAGCACACTTCTTCGACAAATTATGGTCTGACCTTGTAAATGTGTACCTCAGTGGGTAGGTCAAGAGAGCAGACAGGTTTTATCTGTATGTACTGTTTAGGAAATATTTTACTTTGAGTGACACTCTCAGTAGAATTTTAATTTAGCATTGCAGAGAGAGTTTGTACTCAGAAATACCTGCTTGAGTGTTTTTGTACTTGTAACACAAGGAGGAATTTGCCAATTGAGTTATAGCCAGCTATTTATTTGAAGAACAAAAAAACCCCCATCGGATTAGAGTTATACTGTGCATACAATGTTTTATACCTGAAATACATTGGAAGTTCTTTATTTACTATCAGAATTTCAGTGCTTCTCCCCCTTTTCTAAAAAATAATTTAAAAAAAAGCCATTACTTAGGCTAGTACAAGTTGAAAATATTTCCATTTTGTCTGTGAAAAGCATTTTGTGTGAAAAGCAGAATGAGTAAACGTGGCTTAACCTAAACCCTACATGGTAATGTAGTTTGTCTTTGCTTTAAATTAAAATTGGTTCAAGTCCACTCAAAGAGGACGTTTGAATTGTCCTGTGGTTTTAACACACTGACAAATCTGGCGGTTCAAATCTATTCCGTGTGTGTTGTTAAAAGCTACAGCACATCTGATAGGTCTTACAGCACAGTATTAATTATTAATAGCATGTCTCCTAGGCTCATCCACTGGTAATTGTATTTGACCTCTCTTTATTTGAGCTCATATTTGAGGCACTCAGTGTGCTTTGGCGTGAAACTTGCTTTTGAACGCGCCAAATGCACCTTTTTTGGGGGAGACATGAAGACGCCCCTTTTCATCTGTGCCGTGCACCCCAAATTCGCTAGAGGTGGCTTGGGAAGGTCTGCCAGGGCCCCAGCTCCCGCCTCCCTGCTGCTGCCTGGCTGCCCCATCCCTGCTGTAAAAACACCTCGTGTCGCCGTCGTTGGCGGGCAGGCCAAGGGGGCAAGCAGCCAGGGGTGGCTGTCGGCTGCTGCCACGTGTCCCAGCACCCGGTTGGTGCTAGGACCCAGGGTAGGACCGGCAGCGACTCGGCGCTGTAACTTGGCTGACTTCTATTTAAAGACTGCCCTGAGTCAGGAGAAGC